GGGGGTTGTTGGGGGGGGGGGATGTATTGCAGATTCCTGGGCCTTACCTAGATCTGCTAGGTAACCAGAATCTCCAGGTAGGTCTAGCAATGGTAGTAGCCTCATGGTGTTGGATAAGTCAGTCAACCTCTTTCAACCTGAGTTTTTGCATCTATAAAGGGCATAGTAACACCTGCTTACGTCTGTGAGAATCAAAGGAAGTGATATAAGCAATATGTCAAACACAATGCCTGCTATAGAACAGGTTTCTGAACTTAATGATATAATCAGGGCTATACCTTGGCTCGAGAGAACACTGCCTAGGGAGCGTACGACACCACCTTCACTGCCGTGTGAGGTGTTAGTGGGTCCAGCAGCTGAAGTACAATAAGAACAGCAACAGCATGGCCACTGAATGTTTATGTGCTAAGAACTGCTCTAAGCACTTAATCAACATTAACTAATTAAATTTCATAACAATCCCACGAGGCAGGTGCTTTTTCTTAAGCTCTATTTTACATATGAGGAAACTGGGCTACAGAGCAGTTAAATAACGTGCCCAGTGTAACAACTCACAAGTGGCAGAATTGGGATTTGATCCTAGGTAGTCTGACTCCAGAGAACCCAAGGAATTTGTAAGAGTAAGTTTTACCAAGGCCATTTTGCCCTAAAATAAGAGAGCAAGACTGCAATTTCCAAAGTCTCCTTTAGTTTTTCTTCCTTTTTAAAATTCATGATAGAGCTCATATATGCGCACATATGAGAGAATATGAGAGAAGAGAGATACGTACACGCAGGGTCTGGTCATGCGATGATACCCTTCTTCCAGTCCTCCAGCCTGTTGGATTTGGATACTCGCATGTGTGCCCATATTGTTTCAGGCCAGGTCAGGGATTCAAACCGTGATGGCCATGTGGGATCTGGCCTCTCCTGAGCAGTATATTTCTGGTGTGCTGCAGAGCTGGTCTTTGTTCTCCTTTTTTGACAAACATTTACTACCCTGCTTCAGAGATACAGCTGAAGGGTGAGACCTCTGATGGACTGTGGTTCCTGGGAAAGTCCATTCTCAAACTTTCAGC